CTGTTTCTTGGGGAAGTTGGAAAGAGGACAGACTGGAAATGAACATTTAGCTTGAGTTCCTTTAATGTATTGAAGGTTGAAGAGGAAAAGAAACTGTCCAGAAGGATAAAACGCAGACTTAGATTTGAGGATTCATACTGCAGTTTTTCTGTCAATTTAACTGACCTCACCTCCCATTCTGGCCTTTAAAAAATGAAAGATAAAATGTTATGTTAATCCTAGATAATAATAATATAACTTCCCAGAAGCTTTTCTTGTTGATTTTAGAACTTGACATCATTTATGAGAAGCCAAGATAAGTTAGCTAAAATCATTAGAACTTTGAAGCCCCAAAGACAAAGAATCAAAATGGCAATATAGTTAAAATTTCACGTATTTATTAAATGTGTGGAGGTTCAGATCAAGTCACCCCAACATGTCCCTCTGCTATAGAAACTGTTTTGAGCCCAGCCGGTGTGACTCACTGGTTGAGCATCGACCTATGAACGAGGAGGTCACAGTTCGATTCCCCGTTAGGGCACATGCCCGGATTGCAGGCTTGATACCCATTAGGGGACATACAGGAGGCAGCAGATCCATGATTATCGTCACTAATGTCTCTCTCTCTCCCTTCCTCTCTAAAATAAATATTTTTTAAAAAGACATATATTTTTTTAAAAAAGAAACTGTTTTGAGCTAAAGGCAATTTTAGCCACAAGCTCAAGAGAAACTCCTGCCCCTAACTTAACTACCTGGAAGAACATGAATTAGAGCCTTTCCCAAAAGTGATTATTAGAGACAGCCTCTTTTAACCTACCTTGAGGGCAGAGTAAATTTCTATTTACTAAACCTCTGTTCTTACCAGCCTACCATGACACTTTGAAGCTCCCATGGTATATTATCTCATCCCTACTTCAGGATGTCTTATATACCTGGGTCCCCCTTTCTACCCTTCCCCCATAAGCATGTACCCCCCATCTTCTAAGGAACCCCATGAGACTTGCAACCAGGGAAGAAATGGGCAGCTGCAGCTCGTCCCTTGCTAACCCCCAGAGCCTGTCTCCAAGGCCCCCTTTTCTCTGACTTCCCAGTGAGCTAAAGCAGCCTGACCATTCCTCTCTCTCTCTCTTAAAATCTGAGAAGAACTCAGGTCCTAGCAGGTAACCCCAATCAGTAACAAGGTTAGCATGTGACCCCTCTTCATCTACACTAATCTGGATCAAGTCTATTTGATAATCACACCAAGCAGAAGAGCCTGGAGGGTAGAGGAACGTTTCTTCCTCCACACAAGGGCTTATTGTCAGGCACTGTCCTAAGTACTTAGATGGATTTCCTCATTTAACACAATAACTGCAGTAGATTACTCACATTTACAAATTTGAAGACAAGTTAAGTCACTTGGCTAAATTCACATTGCCTTACTTCTGCCATAGCTAGTCTGTAAGCTAGGACAAAACTTGAATTTTAGTTTCTGCTGTAGGCAGACAGACAGACATGAGCAGAGCCAGGACAATGGGCCAGGTACAGAAGGTGCATTATTTCATCCCTAGCTCAGGATGTCTTATATACCTCAGTCCCCCTTGGTGTCTCCGAACCTCATATGCATGTGAGGGGTCTCTGACTCTCATGTGTTTGGGGTTCCCATACATATGTAGGTATTAAATTTGGTTATGTTCTCTTGCTAATCTGTCTCATGTCTATTTGATTATTAAACCAGCCAGAAGAACCTTTATTAGGGGCCGACGTGGAATATTGGGGACTAGCTATGGTTATGGGAAATACTAATCATGCTCTGTTAACCATGATTGCCTTGTTCTGGTAAAAGAGAGGACATTCTAACCTGGTTGGGAGTTGTATGCCCTGGAGACCTGGGAGACAACCTTGGGCCAGGGGGTCAACTTTGGATGTGGGAGTTAACTTTGGAATGGGGTCTATTCTCATTCAAGAACTGCCTATATTCATGGAAAGATTAACAACTCCTTGCCCAAACAATGGAGTCCCACCCGGGCCTGCATAGCTTACTTCCCCACTCCAGTAATCCTTACTTCCCCATCTAATCTTTGTCCTACCCAATATAAGCAGCTGGCTTATGGGGGGTTGCAGAGCAGATTTTCCTGGATGACCTGCTTTCCTATACTGCCAGCATGATTGAAATAAACTCTCATACAATTCAACCCTGTCTCTGCTTCATTGGCTCAAGTAGTGATAGGCCACCTGGACCCCTTGCATGTCCAGTTTCACCTTGAGGGGAAGTGACATATGTTATTTCTAGGTAATGGGGATTAGAGCCAGTATGTCTGCCTCCTTCATTCTGGCCTCTTTTCCAGACCCCTCAGGGCACAATCAAATGCCCTGGGCACCAGGACAGATACCACAAATTCCATCATTGTTATTGTTATCATGTCAATTGTTGACTGTTACCTACCCTGTAACCACCTGAGTAAAAGAAGTATGTGTCTATCCTTTTACTCTTTATCCAATCCCGGAGGCATACAATTCTTGCTTTCTCCTGCCTCTGCCTCTCTAATCTATCACCAGTGGATTTCATGTAACCCACCTACATCTCCTCCTTTGATTGCAATGTATAAAAATAGATGAAAGCCCGCCATTCTCTGGAGCATTATCCCAGTTGGTTGAGATTCTGCTTCCCAGCAGTTGTCGATAGGTTAGCTTAAATAAACTCACAAAAATTCTTTACAGGTTGGGATGTTATCCTTCTTTACTGAATTTATTTATCAGTTCTAATAGTTTTTGGTGGAATCTTTAGGGTTCACTATATACAATATCATGTCATCTCAGAGGATAAAGTCCATTCTGTTTCTGCAAACAAACCCTCCATTGCCAGACCTTTGCCATCTTGATATTCCTGTAACATGGCTACAGTCTGCTCCTGAATCGAAGAAATTAAGATGGGCAGAAAATGGCTATACATTAAACAAACGGCTATGGGAAACTTAAGATGGCCACTTAGTTCTTTAAGACTTCCTGGAAAATAACCCTTTTTTTCAGTTTTTGCATTTTTTTATCCATTATAGTACATTTAAGTTAGACTTGATTCAATTGCCATTTATTTTGGGTTATCAATATTCTTGTTGCATGTATGTTTTCTGGATGAGTTTAAGCTTTCCCCTGCTACAAGGCTGATGCCCTCAAAGTGGCAAAAAAAATAGAACATGTGTTTCCCAATTGGAGTATTACCCTTCACAATCTCTAGTGATTGGAGCACTCACTTCACTGAGCAAATTATATTAGCCTTGACAGATAGCCTCACAAAATTCTTGGAATGATCACTGACCCTATTGCCTTTAATTATCAGGCAAAGTCAAGTGAACTAATAGAAAAACTAGATTCAAGCAGAACAGGTTTAATTACACAGGACCAACTAAACTAATAAGAATGGTTACAATTTTCATGACTTTTTGGTTGAAATATTGCTGGTGTGGGTCTTTTTTTTATTTGGTTGCTTTTTGCTGTTGTTGTAGTTGTTTTCCAGATATAAGGATTTTTTTTTTAAATATAAGCTAGCTATTTGGTAACTTTTACCTTTGTAAGCAAAATTGAGACTTTTGTGTTTCTCCCTACTTGATCTCTTCAGACTTCAGAAACTCACAGTGAGTGTTGTCATTTTCATGGCAATATTCGTATTTGCATAACTTCAATAAGAATCTGTTCTCCTTATAATAACAGGGCACAATTGGAAACTAGTTATATTACCAAGACTTTGACTGGAATATCAAACTTGAGAGAGGCATATGTAAACTCAGATATAACCTGTGTCAATGTAAGAAAAGTCCAAACATGCAGAGAATTTTTATAAGAGTTTGAGCCAAACTGACAACGTATGCCTAAAAGAGCAGTGCTTTCTCATGATACAGGATTTGTTGTTGTTATTAAAGCAATAGGTCAGACATTTGCCACAATGTCTGTCAAAGTGGCTGCCCATAAAACTCCAGCACACATCCATCTAAGGGGACTCCCGACGAAGGCGACGGTGCCATCTCATCCACCTGATGGTATTTTAGGGCAGCCAGCTTAACCCTCTTTCTCTTATGCTCACTCTCCTTGGGAGTGGTGTGAGACTGCTTCCCTTTCTTAGCACCACCACGTAGTCTCAACACAAGATAAAGAGTGGACTCCTTTCGAAGGTTATGGTGAAACAAAGAACATCCATATTCCAGTTGCTTGCCAGCAAAGATCAGTCTTTGCTGATCAGGGGGAATTCCTTCCTTATCTTGGATCTTGGCCTTTACATTCTCTCTTGTATCCAAGGGGTCAGCCTCGAGAGTGATGGTCTTCCTCACAAGGGTTTTCACAAAAATCTGCATCTTGGCGGCAGTTCCACCACAGATGGTGGATTGGGAAAAAAGCTCATGATACAGGATTTAATACACTGGCAACTATCCCAAGAGATGGTGTGAACTCACTATGAGAACGGCTCCTAGGAAAACAGATAAAGCAATAGCCCATAAAGAGTGTGTTAGTCAAGGTTCTCCAGAGAAGCAGCTCAATAGTACACACATGCACACACACATACACATGTACACATGCATGCACATGCACACACGTGCACACATATACACATACATGTTGGGGTAGAAAAATTGGGATTTATTATTTTAAGGAATCTACTGACTTAAATGTTTATGAGATTTAAAAAATACCTTCACAGAGACATCTAGACTGGTGTTCAGCCAAACAACTGTCTCCTACAGCCTAGCCAGACTGATACTTAAAATTAAGCATTATAGTGAGCAAAGTTGGAATGCCAGAATTCCCATGGCAGATGGTAAAGGAAAGCATTGAAAAGCTCAGGGAAGTGGGTATGCAGGACTGTGTATATTATGTACAACCAAAACACTTCCCAGACAATTATTTCCTACAGGGAGGCCTTTACAGCACAGCATTAGACAAGGCCATAGGAGTGTGCTGGTCATAGGGGCACTCACATCACTAGAATCTTCTTTAGTTGATCTCTGTAGTTCAGGCAAGACTGTTACAGAACTAGGCTCACTGATAACAATGGGGCCGATCAGGCCTCAAAACAACATAATTTAGATAAGCGTGCTTAACTACCAGAAATCAGGATATAGTAATAATTGCAAATGACTAATAAGCTTGGTGTGGCATCCTAGAGGGGCTCATCCACAGAGTGTTATGAAGATGATTAATAAAATATTGCAGGCCCTGGCCTATTACTTGATTGGTTGGAGCATTGTCCTGACACACCAAGGTTGTGGGTTTGATCTCTGGTCAGGGCATATACAAGAATCAACCAATGAATGCATAAGTAGGTAGAACAACAAATTAATGTTTCTCTCTCTCTAAAAAAAAATAAAAAATAAATAGCACATGACATAATAAGTGGAGGGGAAGCAGTCACACTATAAAATATAAATTTTATATATCACAAATCTTTGCTTTAGATCTGAGCCTGTTTGCCAGTTTTTAGAACTCAAACACTTTGATTAAAGAGGTGGCTAGTTCCTAGGAGAAACAATTCTGCAGCACCATGACATGATTCCCTCTGGTTTTTCCCCAAAGGCACCTACAGCCATTTCATTGGGAAAGGGGAAAACCCAGATATTATGAGGATTAAAGGGCAGAGTGAATGAGTCTACATTGACACCTAAGGACCCAAAGTATGTATCATTACTCCTCTTCATAATGAGCTCCAGATACTAAATGGAATACTGCCAAGGCCCCGCTTACAGTGAGTTCACTGTATCAGTGGACCCATTCTGTGGTCATTTCCATCTAGGATTCAAACATCTAGGATTAAAACACTAGAACCATCTCCCACATTTCATTTTTGGTCTTTAAAGTAAAAATTAGTATAATGGAGAAGGCCTAATGGAGGTCTCCTTAGAAACTTCCTTGGAAAAAAACAACAACATATATTTCTATGCCAATCAGAAAAGATGATGAGACAATTCACATTCACATGGAATGGACAACAATATACATTTAGAGTTTTTCTCTGTGCCTCTACTAACTCTCCTGCCTTCTCTCATAATATAGTAGGAAGAGATTTGACCATCTGGACATCCCACAGAACATCATATTGATCCATTACGTTGATAGCATTATATTTAGCAGGCTGAATAAGCAAGAGATGGAAAACATACTAGAGTTCTTGGCAAGACACATCACTCCAAGGGGTGGGATATCAAAGTAAGCAACATTCAGAAGCCTTGCTCTTCTGTAAAATTTATAATGATCTAATTTTCCATGATGTGCCAGGATATCCTGTCTAAAGTAAATTATGATACTGTGCACCTCCTACTATAAAAAGGGAAGCATGCATTGGTTTACCTCTTCTGGTTTTGGAGGCAGCCTATGTTTTACCTATAAATATGGCTCACAGACTGAAGGATTGGAACCTCGATGAAGAAAGGTCCTTGGCTTCTTGAGAAGCCCAATTCAACACTCTCCATTGTGTTGGGGGTATAGTGGTGGAGTAAAAATAACACATGGAGTTTGTGGCAATCCCCAGTGAGAGAATCCCATGGAAGGTCCCTGGGGTTCTGGAGCAAGATCATGCCATCTGCACATAAATAGAGTGGTCATGAGGCAGAAATGTAGAATGTGCGCTTCTGTCCCACAACACTGAGCTCTATAGTATTAGAGGTCCTGGCCCCCAAATAGGACACACTTTTTTCCAGGGCACAGCAAGGTTCTGATTGAATCATAATCTCTGGCTGCTGCCTGGCATTTTTGGGTCCCTTATACCCAGGAACCAACAGGAAAGAGGAGAAATCACTTTCTTAGCAGGAGTAATTGACTGGTCATCAGAGGGAAATAGGGCTGCCACCTCAGTCAGAGCAGGAAAAAATACATATGGAATTCCAGATAAATAACATCAGCATCTATTAATACCCCTTTACTCAATCCTATATAATAAAACCCTAACGTGAAAATTGATCGAACGGTGGAATGACCAGCCCCTATGACGTGCACTGACCACCAGGGGGCAGACACTCAACGCAGGAGCTGCTGACCTGCAGTGACTTGGCAGCGGGGGTTCTCGGGTGACGCACTCTGAAACCAGAGAGGAGGGAGCACGATTCCTCCTGGGGCCACGTGATTCCACCTTTGGCCATGGGTTATGTTGTTGCTGGGGCACTGTCGGCCCTGAATCTGGTTTACTGCACAATTGCATTTGCATTCCATACCCTGTACAACAGCAACTTTGCAGAGCGCCCTCTTACACTCCAGGACCCCTTGGAGGATATCGGAGAGCCAGTTACAGCCCAATCCCCACAGACCAGGTCCCACCTGCTGAGGGACCCCGCTCACTTCCCAGACGCCAGGAAGAGACCTCAGGAGGTTAGCTCCAGGGTGTGTCCACCCATCTCGCCCAATTCCACCCTGCCAGCCACCTTCTAATTAATTTCCTTTCAATGTGCACGAATCCGTGCACTGGGTCACTAGCTGTTACATAAAGAGATACATCAAATTCAGGCTGAGAATGGCATGATAACCAAGAGACTTAGGCCCATTGGTGATGAGAGTCTGGTTCATGCCGCCAGGTTAGTCACTAATGTCAGTAGAAGGGTGACAGCTGAGAGTGAGGGAAAGCTAGAATGTATAGTTGGGGAGGGAGAAGATCACAAATGAGTATCAATGGTGGCTCCAAAGATGACTGTTGTGGCAGGAGCTGTCATTTGTCTCACTAACCTCCCACTTCTAAGAGTCTCCACTGGAAGAAAGGCTCACCAGAATTCTGCTGCACCAGGAGTTACTTCTTGAACATATATGGAGAAGTGGATGCCAGATGAGCAAAGAGTGAAGCTTTGAAGATGCACCACCCAGATACCCTTCAAAGAATAACTTGCTGGAGAGAATGTCGTCAGCATACAGCCTCTAATATCCTTCCTTTGGTGTTGGCCTCTGCTAGAGCACACTGCTTTACCTGCACCTAGTAACCGAGCAGGGCAGGGTGAAAGGCCTGGCCATTTACACCACCACTGGACACTGTGGCAGACCTAGGGTTGATGTACCTGTCTGTTTACTGTCAAGACTGGTTCAGGGAGAATCAATAGCTGCCATGGGATCATCTGATTTCTTTTTGGAGCTGCATGACAAATGGCCAAGGCTTTGTTGTGTCCACATCACAGCTGTATTTGTTTCCCTGCTCAATCTTGCTTACTCCCTGTTCTCTTCTCTAAATAACACACTGCCCAGTGAATGCAGTGTCATTGTTTGCTTCTGGAGAACCCAACCTGTAATATACCAGTTTAGAAATGCAAACCAGAGAAACCAAGATGGCGGCATAGGTAAACACCGGAGATTGCTGCCTCGCACAACCACTTCAAAAATATAACTAAAAGACATAATGGACATCATCCAGAACCACAGGAAGGCTGGCTGAGTGGAATTTCTACAACTAGAAGGAAAGAGAAAAGCATACCGAGACTCAGAGGAGGTGTGGTGCCGAAGTAAATACAAAGGTGCGGAGGTGCATGCGGAGAGGGCTGGAGGCTGAGGACACGATTGTCTTTTTCAATCAGGAGGGAGTCTCAGGCTCTGAGCTCCAGTTCCGGGCAAGTCTTTGGGGACCCAGACTCACACGGGAGAAACGGGACTGCCTGTCATCGGTCGAAACTCAAGGGCAGCTTTCTCTCGGAGGCACTCTAGGCGATTGCCAGAACCTCTGAAGGCAGGACTGAGAGCAACCATACTGCTGGCTCCCTCGGCCTGCCCTGTTGATCCCCTGGGACCCTGCACGCATGGAGGCTTTTGCATATGAAAGGCCCGGCCCTTTGTAATCTGAAAATAACTTAACAAACTGCAGCTGCCCCAAGGCCCCAGGGCAACTTGCATTGCTTTACTTGCCCCAGAAGGGTGTCTTCAGCACAGAAGTTCTCCCACTGCAGACACAGCTGATTCTCACTGCCAATTGGCCTGGAGGTCAATTCCTCCCAGTGACACCTAAAACAATCAAGGCATAACTACAACAAGACTGTGCACAAAGCCCACAAGGGGGTGCACCAAGAGTGTCCACCTCAGGTAACTGGGGAGGCTGAGCCACTGGGCCCTGTAGGACACCTAGCACACAAAACCACTCTACCAACACAGGGAAGCAGACAAAATGCGAAGACAAAGAAACAGGTCACAAATGACAGAAATGGAGGACAGCAAACGACTGGATATAGAGTTCAAAACCACGGTTCTAAGATTTTTCAAGAATTTTATGGAAACCGCCGATAAATGTATTGAGATCCTTAAGAAATCTAGTGAGACCCTCGATGTTGTGATAAAGGACCAACTAGAAATTAAGCATACACTGACTGAAATAAAGAATATTATACAGACTCCCAACAGC